TACCACTTCCATTTAAGGATTTTTTTGGGTCGAAACTATTCATTATCGGTCAAAACGGCTCACATGTCCCTATTTCAACTTTTGATTCACTATTTACTGATATTTAATCGGAACAGATACAGGGTGGTTCAAGATTCAGAATTCTGATCACCCTGTATCTGTTCTGATTGAATATCAGTAAATAGTAAATCAAAAGTTGAGATAGGGACATTTTTTTTATCGCTTGGAGCGCACGAAAAGGAATCCCTATAATGTTCAAAGAACATCGTGCGTTCCTTGGGAGGATAGGGACAGGAGGTAGGTATTGGAATTATTTTTTGGACTTTTGGAGATATTATGTTGTTGGGAATACTTCCACAGGCAATGAATTCCAGAGCCTAGCCGTTCTATGGATGAAGGAGCCTTGATAAAGTGCTGTTCGACATCTTTCGAGGTTGACAACGAGAGGATGTGCTGACTGGGCCTTGTCTAGTTCGTCTGATTGGTATTGCTAGTGAAGGGATGGATGATAGCAGAGATTTCCGAGAAGAACATTTCCCGTGGAAGTATCGATAGAAAAGTGAAAGGTCGCCGAGTTTTCTACGGTGTTCAAATGATGTCAAAGAGTGAGTGAGTGTGGCGTCACCCACCAGGCGAATGGCTCTTCTCTGGATGGAATCTAAGAGCATCAGCGTATGTTTTGGTGCTGAACCCCATATGTGGAAACAGTATTCTAGAACAGGCCGTATCTGCGCTTTGTAGATCATGAGAAGCTGTTGAGGTGTAAAGTAGCTTTTCGCACGGAACAAGAATCCGAGTTTTTGTGAAGCAGCTTTTGCGATGGATCTGACATGATTATCCCATGAAAGAGTGTTGCTGATGGAAATACCGAGCATAGATATGGTGGACATGTGAGCCGTTTTGGCAGATAATGCATAGTTTCGACAGAAACAAATCCTAAAGTTGAAAAACCTCGATTTTGAACACTCAATATCTCTCTAATCATTTTTGATAGACCCCAAGTGTGATGTATCGATGAAATCAGCTCTTCATGGAGAATCCAAAAATGCAATGAAATACAGGGTATTCTATTTGAAATAACAAAGTTGTTGCTATTTTTTTATAGAAGCGGCAACACTGCATTGCTGAAATTATTTTAAATGGAAAGAGCGTATTCTGAAATATTAGCGGGCATATTTCCATGTATTTCTCTCCACTGATTCTCGATATAGAGATACTATAAGCTCGTCGTGACATACCCTGTATGTAAATATACAGTGTGTCCACCTTAAGGACTTACCACCCCTGTAAAATCGTTATTATCCGACCAATTTCAAAAAACCTTTTTTTGTTGGATAGGTATTTGAAATGCCCATCCAACGAGAGAGTGATCTAATTCTTGGACTGTTATCGTGGCCAACTGCGACAAATTTCAATGACCCATATTCCAGAAAGTACTATTAGGGATTTTTTTCCACGAAACTCGATGATGGATTCTGAATCAGTACCACTTGAAATATACCTGTACCAATTTTCATCATCATAAAACACAGGGTGTCTGAAAAAAACGAACCATCGTTTTCTTCAAATAGGTGATCAGCAAATGTAGTTCTGTGGTTTTTCTAGAAAGAAATAATCACAAATTATCATTGAGGATTATTTCAAATATACCTGTACCAATTTTCGTCTTTTGAATATACAATGTGTCTGAGAAAAAAATTAAAAGGATAGGTAAGCAATATTTTTCATCCTGATAATTCTTCACTCAAAATAGAAAAATGAATCAGGATCACTTGGAACATACCTGTACCGATTTTCATCATCATTAAACACAGGGTGTTCGAAAAATCAAATTAATATTTTTTTTGAGTTCATGAAAAAATATTGGCTACTTTTCCTTTTTAATTATTTCTCATACACATCGTATTTTTGAATGATGAAAATCGGTACAGATATGTTCAAAGTGATCCTCAATAATAATATGTCATCAATTCTTTAAAAAAAAACACAATACTACATTTTCTAATCACCTAATAAAAAAAACAAAATTCGTTTTTTCGGACACCCTGTGTTTTATGATGATGAAAATCAGTAAAGGTGTTTTTCAAGTGATCGTGATTCAGAATCCATCATTGTTTTTTGTGAAGAAAAATCCCTAATAGTACTTTCTCAAATATGGGTCAATAAAGTTGGTCGCAGTTGGCCACGATTACAGTTCATGAGTAAAATCATTCTCTTGTTGAATAGACATTTCAAATACCTATCCAACAAAAAAAAGTTCTTTAAAATCGGTCAGATAGTAACAATTTTACAGGGGTGGTAAGTCCTTAAGGTGGACACACTGTATGTATCTCATTTTTATTTCAAATTGTGATCGTTTCATATTTTCTGTACACGACAACCTAAAATGTATTATAAACATGACTGAGGCTAATAAATTATTATTATTATTATTATTATTTTAGACTAGAGGAAGCATGAACACTTTTCTTTGTTCACCCACGTTATTATGAAAGCCTGAGGTGTGTATAATCCACTTCATGAATCGGCCTAGGGTGCATTTTTTGTAATTAAATACGACCGTGCATAATAAGCGTACTCTGCACTCTCCTTGAGCACAACTCTCGCTCTTATTATGTTGAGAGCTATCCTAGTGTGTCACAATAGGTGAGGCACCTTACAATCACGTGTATGCAGTTTTGATCTACAATTAACTAGAATGCAGAATTCAAATCATTGAAAAAATCAGATGAGTAGGTTAAAACATCTGACTGTCGTTTGATATTAGGTCGAGAGGAGGTGGATTCATGTACAGCCTAATTAAATCCAAATTGAACCCTAATTTAATCTAACCCTAAGAATCGGAATTGAGAGACATAGAATTTTAATCAGAAATTTCACCATGCGGAAACAGTGATATTCAGAGAAAGAAACATAATATTAGTCATAACAATAATGCACCATAGGAAATTCGCACTTTGCAGTGCGTCATTTAATTAGGAAAATAAGGAAACTTTGCATTTGATAAGGTTAGTTCTTCTTCCCTTTTTTTTTCTCGAGCAATATTTAGTGTTTTTTGAATGATGGAAGTAAGATATGGTGTAATTACTGATGCGCTTTTGTTTCAGAAATTTTACTCGACCTCTCGAGAACAGTGAGAGCAATGGTTCCGTCGATTTTCTAATAGATGGCGACATTGCACAATTATGACATCTGTCAGTTTTGAAATTATCGCAGATTTTTCGAATTCAGAGTTGAATACTCCGAATAATCCCACTGTTACATATGTTCCGCGTACGTAAAATGCTATTGGCCATTTTATTTCCACTCGTCACAGCAGCAATAGCAGCATCACCATCTAGCGGGAAAATGTAGAATCAACGTCTCGCTCGTTGTGACGTAGAGAAATCATAGTAGACGGTCGAGTGATTTTTCTGAAATTTTCCATACGTAATAATGGCCGAATGCGCGCACCATATCTTACTTCCATCAATGTTTTTTGGGCACTTTCAATGGGGAAGTTTCCTTCAGATGAATTTTCATCAAATAAGTTCGAAACTCTCCAGTTTTATGTCCACGACGCTGTACAGAATGGCGACCGATAAAGTCCCAGTCGTTTTCATTTTCAAATTAAAGCAATTTCCTTTTTTCGGGGAGGCAAACTGTGACTGATCTGAAAATAGCTGATGGTGGAGAATATAGCTAGCGAATAGCCAACGAATGAAAAAACGAATGAAAAAAATAGAAGAAGTAAAACTGGTAAAGAAAAACATACATAACCATAAATACACTCGAAGCAGGGATGCAGAAGGTAGTTGGCTTCATTCTGACAGGTTATGGTTTTGTTATTTATGCATTGAAATATCTCGAATAGAGCTCGATTCTTAATGAAAATATCATGGAATCAATGAAATATTATCGACTACATTCAATGATACTATCCTTCCTAATTTACTGCCATCGGTCAGAACAGAATGAAGCCGACACCCATGGCTCCTTTCTGTTGCTGTGCCTGTCAGTATTTTGAGTGGCAAAATTGCGTAATTGAACATGGCTTCATTATGCTTCGGATTGAAGTGTGATCCCTGCTTCTAAACACAAAGGTTTTTGATTCACATTAATATCTTATTTTTAAAAGAAGACACGAGTGTTTTAAAGAGGTATGGTGTTTTTCAACTTTTTCCACCAATAATCAGAACTTACATGAAGTTATTGATTAACAACTTCGAGGATTAATTTCACATATTTCTACCTCACTTTCTTAGCACTTACCGGAAAAATAATTACAAAAAACAAACAAGAAATAACAGACATGTATTGTAGTCAATAACGATTAGTATGCTCTCCTCGATATTGAATTACAGCATTCAACCGCAGTGGCATCGTATTGATCAAATTTCTCAAGAAGTCTTGAAGAATTGCCTAAAATTCTCCTTGAAGGGCGAATCGCAGCTCTTGAAGAGTCTTTGACAAGGCTGGGCGAAGGCAAATGAGCCTCTATAGAGGTCAGCCCTAAGATAGGTAGATAGGTTCTGAATTATTGTTATTGAAAATTAAAAAAATCTATACTTTCTTGAAACACTTGTCTTCTATCAAAAATAAGTTATTGACGTTATTCTAAAACCGTTGTATGGAGAAGGAACAAAAGAGGATCACACTTCAATTTAAAACATGATGAAGCAGAAGGTAGGACAATGGTTCTGAATTATTGTTAATGAAAATTCAAAAAATCCACACTCTCTTGAAACATTTGTATCTTCCCTTGAAAAGTGGTTATCGACGTGAATAAAAAACCATCATGTAGAGAAGAGATAAACCTTCAATCTAAGACATAATGAAGCTAAGTTAAACCACTCACTTCTCCCACAGGGTGTTAAGAAGTTAAGGGGAAAGAGTAACTTTCGTTTTTCCCTGTATAATGATCGAGTCATCAGATTTTCTTAGGAACTGATATTCAGGCTAACTAACTAATTTGACTGAATTATTTAGTTGCCGTTTTTTTTGCCGGTGAGTGTACTTACATTTTTTGGTTGAATAACAATTCTTTGTGGAGATTTTGTCGGTCGGGGTTTTCTCTGACTGGATTGGCAGGTTTTCGGGGCATGATGAGACCATCGTCAGATAGTGGTGGGCTGGAATGATGTCCTGTATTCCTCAAGGCATCAGGAATCATTTTACTCGTTTCAACGTCTGTATCGTCAACTGGAACAAAAACGATCAGCTGAAATCATAGCAAGAACCAAAAATGAAGTATAATATTCCTTCATTGGTCTGGACTCTGGATCATAATATTTTCCTCATCCCTATTATAATATTCATTCATATAGTTTTATCGTAAGTACCTACATTATGAAGATAACGGAGGTAACATTTTTACATGTTCTAATCTCTCACATGTCTTTTCCTACGACTTCATTTGTAATTGATAAATATTGTAGGCAAATCAATGTCAGTAAGCTTTTCCTTATATACGAGCCGGGGGACTCGTTAATCTATGCATGTTGATACATGACTTTGTTTTTTTGCTTAGGCGATGTGATTCCCATGAAGAGGGATATCCTGTGATGTTCAGAGAACATCGTGAGAACCAAAGGAAATAAGGTAAGAATTGGTGTTCTTCTTGAATTTCTGGAGGTTATATGCCTCGGGAAACACCCCTGGCAGGTCTCCAAGTCTCTCGACTCGACGAGTTAATCTCGCGGGGACTGCCAAGGAAGGATCAATTGTTGATATTTCAGAAGAGCCTCGTCCATGAGAATATCTATAAAATAGAGCCAGATCGTCAACTTTTCTACGGTATTCCAGAAAAGTGAGTTAGTTTGTGAGCGAGGCATCACCCACGAGACGAATTGTCCTTTTTTGAACAGAATCCAACAGTTTCAGGGTATGTTTGGGTGCTGCACCCCAAATATGGGAACAGTATTCCAGGACAGGTCGGATCTGTGCCTTATAGATCATGAGCAGCTGACTGGAAGTAAAATAGCTCCTGGCCCGAAACAGAAAACCAAGTATTTGGGATGCACTTTTAGCAATTGATCTCGCGTGATTTTCCCAAGAAAAGTTATTGCTGATAGTAATACCAAGCATCGAAATGGATGTCTTCAAAGGTATGGTTACTCCTGACAAGCTTATATTGGGCACAGTGAGAGCGGCTTTTCTAGAGAAAAGGCTAGGTAGATATGCAATGTAGGCACCTCTATATCAATGGAAACCGGAAGCAGGCAAGTAATTTTTTTGGAGAATCATTATTTTCTGTTGATATTTCTCAATTTCACTCGAAAATTGTCAAGCGATGACGATGACATTATTTCTATATACCACCAGAAATCCTGGAAAGGGCACAAATGGCAACAAATGAGTTGCTAAATCCGTGAGGTCACGTGACAGATACGAAATCGCTTACAACAAAAATTAACTCAGGAATAATATCGTCTTTTTCGAAAATTATTCTGTTACCTTCAACAACTGGCAAGTGACGATAAAATAAATAACCATTATAATAATTTTATGTTCGTACATACGATAAAAACATACAAGTGTGATGAAAGAACTGAGGAGGCTTTTCCACCAATGGATGGAATAAGTAACAAACGAAATGCGTACCTCATCTCATAGCTACTTAGCATTGCGAAAGAACAATGTTTCAGGTTATATCACTATTTATCTCGCTATTTATAGATATGTGAGGACAATATTATAGTATTCAATCAGGCGGCATACCTACTCCTACCTGCTTATCTTCAACATGCCTTGTCAACGTTTTTCTAACAAATATTGACTGACTGATAAAATTACGGACCGCAAAAATATTCTGAAGGCGTTCCCAGTGAAGAAAATATCAAATAACAATCTATAATATGCTGCAACTTTGACGATACCATATAGATAAAACAGATAACATTATCCAAAAATTATATACGAACGCATTACTTGTCGAATCGATGTGATCAGCGGAAGTATCTAAGTTAAAATTGACGATCATTTCCAGGAAAACTAATAATACTCATCACTAAAGTGGAATTTGTTATGACTATTTCATGAATTATAAAAGTTTTATTATGTGTACAACACTCAATAAATATCTCGAGAACTTAATAAGATATTGGGAACTTCAAAACAAAATCTTGAATCAGATGTTGCTCTCTTCCGAACGGTATCCTCCAAACATTATATCTCCATTCCATATTTTATTGCATATTTTAAAAGAGTGGTATCTAATTCAACTGGAACCAGGAGCCAGTTCACCAGACAGCAAACTTGAATAAATCAATTAGATAATTTTGCGACAACAATTTCAATCAATCTCAATATTTATTCCTTCAATTCACCCAGTATTACTCCATATGGAATATATGAAAATTATATATTTTTGGAATCAGCAGGAAGCACTCTTTCAAAATATGCAATAAAATATATATAGGGTATTCAGTTCGAAAAAATTCAACATTTTCACACCCCCCGTATATGGAAGAGTACTCGAAAGAGTAGAACTTCTGATTCAAGATTTTGTTTTGAAGTTTCCAATATCTCATTTAGTTTTCGTAATATTGGTGATTGAAGGCGTGAAATCCAGTTAATCACCTTGTACTCCCACCACAGATGCAACAGGACCCTCCATTCGTGGAGTTTTTACTTCGCCGCGTATAGTCAATTCTTTATTCGAAGGTTAATTGATTGGCGGAAATATTTGGCAAACACAAACACGCACGATGTGGGCAACACCAAAATAGTCCTTTTCTTCTCATTGTTTTCCTTTCACCTCTCCTCAATGCTAAATTCGATTACTTGGGGGCTGAAGGCCAGAGGGGGTGAATTAGTTTATATCGCATTAACCTAGTTTCACTAATTTCTTTGATTAGATTACATTCCAAAGACTTTGAACAAAGTCATATAGCTGTTCTAGATTCTCATGTTGGTAACCTTGATGTGAATTGATAAAATACATTCAAACCCGAGTTCAAACCATCACGCGAGAATACGTGCAATAACGTAGGTGTATCTTATTGTTATTCCACGAGCAAAACTAACTTCATGCTGCAAAATATACTAGATACGATGATGTGATTTGATTTTGAACGGATCATTCCAGTTATCTTATGAAATTTCATCATTATTTCCTTGATTACGAATATGTTATGTTCTGAGGGTTACGTTTCAAATCATTTTGTCAGTGCCCCTCTCAGTGACCTTTAGGAAGGACAGGCTTACTACGTAATGTCAAAACTGGTTAAACTCTACGTTGGAAGATCTATTTCCCTATGTGTTTCTTCAGTTAGATACCTTTTTTTCGCGTTTTCACGCTATGGAAATCGAATAAGACTACTTAAGCTACCGTTGACCGTTCCAGTGTAAATTTTAATCTGATTGTAGTTTCACACCCAATGAATCTTAAATCTCTTTGTATGTTGTATGCATGAGGTATAAAATCAGATTTCGTCGATTATCTACCTACATATTTCCACGTGAATGTATCTTAGCCATTTTCTAAGGGATTTTGAAATCTTAAGCGACGAATATTGTTTTCTTCCTTACCTATTTCTTGGTGATTTTCTAATTTGGATTTCAATTCCTCAATTGTACTACTTCTCAGGTTAGGTTCTTCCTTCGTCACATCCTGAAACAAACAAAAAATGATGACTATCGAAGAATTCTGCATAACAGAATCTATGATAACAGTAAGAAATATTTGCTTGGAAAAATTCGTATGGTAATATGCGGAATAGAAGTAATCAATTATCACGGTATACGTTGAGTGCAATGGAATGGAACATTCTAATTCACTAATATATAAAATCAAATGAATACTTAATTACAATTCGGAGAAAACAGATTTTATTGAGACCAACATGAATGAAAAGAAAGCAGGAAATGATGAACCATTTCCATAATCAAATCTTGTTGATGTAGATACGTATATCTACCGAGATATCAACAGACCAAAATTGGAAATGTCAAAGCGTTCGTATTCCAAGTGTGTGAGTTTATTCCAGTTCAATATTCTTGAATTGAAATTACCTAATTTAATTCGTCCTTGAGTTCTGAAGTTTATGCCATTTTATATTAGGACAAAACAGCGATATGACGCAAAATGCTTTAAAGGTGTAATTATTGTAATACCATTGTACACAAGTCCATAGGTAGCAAATGTTTTTTCTTGTTAATAACTGGTACAGTGAGGTAATACATTAATTGATGTTTAAAAAGTGATAAAGCCTTGTTCAAACAACCACATATGTCTAGGTTATATATGATTATTTGTTATCGGCGCTTTTTTCGCACTGAACAAATCGGGCGCAGGTGGTTTTAATATTTGAATTTCTGTGTTGAATATTTATAATATGTACCTAGAACTATAGGTACTCATTATAATATATCCTCGGACTCTCGAATACATACTTTCGTGATAAAAATCATGACTATATATAAACCAAATATATTCAATACAATACAGGGTGTCCCTCCGGGAACTGCATCGATCAATATAAAATAGAAAACCATAGGTGGGCTGAATTTGAAAATTTGGGAGTTCACTATTGTTGATAAGTGCTATCCGGCTAAAATATTTTTTGAATGGGACACCCTGTATATTATCAAAGTTTTAGATTTTACGCAGTTTTCAACTTAAATGTTATTTGAAATATTTCGAAAACGGTTAGACTTAGGTATAGGACATTATACATGAAACATGTTCAGAATCATTCGTAAAATCTGAATTCTTGATAATATACAGTGTGTCCATTTAGTGCGTAATTCTTCCATATCTCGAAAGCCATAACCTATAGAGAAAAACTTTGGAGAAAAATCTTCTTCAGTTACTAAAGTTGCTCATTTCAAAATTATTTTCAACATTACTGGGTGATTTATAAAAGCAGGGCAACTCGAAGAAGAGTTTTTTTAAATGGAACACCCAGTATTGTTCATTCGGAATTAATTCCGTCGAGGTTCACCTTCACATCGCTGTGAAAAAAATTGGAATCGGTTGCGGCGTTGCCAAGTAATAATTGATAAATCTATTTTTACCATTATTGAAGAGTCATGTTGAATTGGGCATGGTATATTCATTTATTCAGATTTTGAAAATATTTTTGGCATACGGTAGGAGCAAGGTCCAACGTTTACCAATCCAGTAATTTTGCGACATGTTCTTCAACAGGGTGCTCAATTTTGCATTTAGAATTTTGCAAGATTCAGATGACATTCATCAGAATTTTTCAAATGGAACACCCTGTATTTTTATTCAAAAATTCATTTCGACATTTTTCGCCTTTTTATCGCTGGAAAACAAATCGGAATCGGTTGCGGCGTTGTCAAGTTATGGTTGATTTCCTTATTTTCACTACTATTTCGGGGTAATTTGTACGTCATAGTTCTTTCATTTATTTGTATTGTGGAAATATTGCGTTGCTATGGTATAATCAAATTTGTTCATTGACCATTCATATATTTTTTTATAAAAGGAACATTTACAGGCTCTCCAAGTTTGAATTTTGTTCGGAATATTTGTGTAATGACCTGTCAAACATCGCTACAATCAAATGTTTCTTGGATTGATTCGACATTTTGCTGAATTTCCTCCCAAAAGCGTCGTGGTAGAGACATATTGTTTGTATCATTATGTTTACCTTCTTGAAGGTAAATGGAGATTTGGATTGTGGGAATAACGACAATAAAAATGGCCTTCAAAAAAATTTCCTAATTTTCGCAATACGCATCTTCATTGTTTGTATTGTAGAAGTTATTTCAAAGACAGACGTTGCTTTTGGCATATTTGTTTGTTTCACATATTATTTGAATCATAAGTAGCAAGATTACGGAATATTTCAAATTTGGACGATGCACATATCACAAAAATACCTGAATGATCTATGTAGAACCTCGAATGTCATGTGGCAAGCAATATTCCCACACTCAAATCAAATCAGGACGAACAAATTACCCCGAAATAGTAGTAAAAATAAGGAAATTACTCATAACTTGAAAACGCCGCAACCGATTTCGATTTTTTCTTCTGCGATGAAAAGGCGTATGATGCCGAAATACATCCGTGATGAAAAATACAGGGTGTTCCATTTGAAAATTTCTTACGATCGTCGTCTGAATCTTACAATATTCAGAATGTAAATTTTAGCACCCTGTAGAAGATTATCTCGCACGATTACTGGATTGGTATACGTGAGACCTTGCTACTACTGTATGCCAAAAATATTTTCGAAATTTCAATAAATAAATATACCATACCCAATTGAACATGACCCTTCAATAATAGTAAAAATGGGTTTATCAATTATAACTTGGCAACGCCGCAACCAAATTCAATTTTTTTAACAGCGATGTAGAGCTGAACTTGAGCGGAATAAATTTCGAATGAACAATACTGGGTGTTCCATTTGAAAAAACTCGTCTTCGAGTTGCCCCGCTTTTATGAAACACCCAGTATCGTTGGAAATATTTTCGAAATGAGCAACTTTAGTAACTGAAAAAGTTTTTTCTCCAAAGTTTTTCTCTTGTGATAATTGATTTCGAGATATCGAAGAATTACGCACTAAATGGACACACTGTATAGGGGTCCCCTTCCAGTACAACCGGAAGTGCCACAATCTTCAAAACATTTTAGCCGGTTACACTTATCAACAATAGTGAACTCCCAAATTTTCGAATTCGGCCCAACTATGGTTTTCTATAAATTGATCGATGCAGTTCCCGGAGGGACACCCTGTATAACTGACACGATTAGGCAAAACCACCATCTTGAAGTTTTCGGAGACGTTACCACTGGAAAAAGAGGATGTGGTTGCCTCTGAACAATGGGCTTATATCACAAACAAATTTCATTTCATAATTGGATAGAACTCACCCAAACTAGCTCACCACCGCAAACCGTTTCTTGCTGTGAGCTCCCTACGTTTTATAAAAAATTATTGAAATCCCCGATTTTTCGGACTTCTGAAAACGAGGCGATGATGTGACGTCAAAACCCTAGTACTCAAACAAGACTATTCCAGAGAGAGATGAATGATACATGATTTCTGACAGAGTGAATTAGCGCGAGATCACAGTTGAAAGAATTAATATATCAGTTGCCTCAGTCTCCGTCGGGCTTTTGGTATTTTCTTCTAACTATGGCGAGATGAGGTTTCTACGTCATAAGAGGGTCCGTTTTCAGAAGGTACTATTATTTAGGTACAAAAATGAAACATTCCAGTTAATTTTTCGATCGAATTATGTCGTCAATCATTATTTATGTATAATAGGATCATTATAAACATGGTCTGAGTTAAAAGTTCTACTAAGGTGTACACGCCCATTGTCAATGACCTTCAATTTCTTGATAAGCAAATGAATATCTTGAATGAGAGAGAAATCCTCAGGAAACTTATTAATGTAAACGCAGTAGAATGAAAGTGAAAATTATAGATAGGTGCCCCAACAGCGGTTACGAAACAATATTCTTAGTGTTCGATTACAATGTCGAAAGATCTATTTTCACATATTTTGATTAGAGTTCAATATTTCAATTTGAAGAGATGAAGCTAATGAGATTATCGTATATTTTGTTTAAATAATGTCATTGATATCGATCTGCAGATCGATGAACAGAGACGATGGTTTTGATCTGGCAATGAAAGAAATAAACATATTTTCTATTTTTGTTTCATTCCTTAGAAGTAATACAAACATTCGCTGCCTTAGGCAAGGGTAATTTGCTTACATCGGGAAGATGTTTATTTTTCCAACAAAAGCTTCATGAAACTGTTTATTTATGGTATAGGTTAGTAAGGTGCAAAGCTCAAAGTTATTTCCACAAATGTTCATAAATGAACAAAACTGGTTGATAACGAGAGAAAAAATAATTCTATTCCTGGCAATATGCCACGCAGAAATCTATGTAACGATTCGTATAGACCAGGAGCATGTTCTGATATATATATATATCGTTCAGATTTTACTGAAATGTACTGGCAACGTTTTCGCGATTCATTGCAAGGAACCCTGTTGGAGGCTAAAAGTTCACTGTTTTTTTTTATGTTCTGGTTCCCACGAAAAGGGATATCCTGTAATGTTCAGAGAACATCGTGAGAACCAAGGGTAATAAGGTAGGAATTGGTGTTCTTCATAAATTTCTGGAGGTTATATGCCTCGGGGAACACCTCCCTTGGCAATGTGTTCCAGTGCCTCACTGTCCTTTGGATGAACGAATCTTTGGAAAAAGATGTTCTGCAGGTCTCCAAAGCGCTCCAAAGTGACCACGAAGGGGTGCGAAGCCTCAACTCGACGAGTTAATCTCGCGGGGACTGCCAAGGGAGGAACAATTGTTGATATTCCAGAAGAGCATCGTCTATGAAAATATCTATAAAATAGAGCCAGATCGCCAACTTTTCTACGGTGTTCCAGAGGAGTGAGCGAGTTTGTGAGCGAGGCATCACCAACGAGACGAATTGCCCTTTTTTGGACAGAATCCAACAGTTTCAGGGTATGTTTGTATATACATACATTTTGAAATGTTGGAAACTGTGTACAGCTTTCATATTCGCTTTTTTCACAAAAATGCTATTTTATATGGGCATATTTCATATCCGCCGATTTGCTTCGGAATATTTCACTCATTTCAGATAT